TTAGCTCAATTTAAAACTATGTTGTCTATCAGTGGCAGCCATTTTCCTCTAGGTGAATCCAAACCTTTTGCCTATGGACCGCGCAGGTCCCGTTTCCTGGCTGGCGTCTCCTCGATACGAAAGTCCGGACGGCGACTACAAGGACATCACGCGTAAGTGGGAATGAGACAGGTTTCAAGCCTCGCCGACGAAGACGCCAACATGTACTCCACGTTAGAAACGAAATGAATAAAGTTAAGAGTAGAACCTGTAATGTATACAAAAGTAAATGTTTACAAACGTCATGAACGCCGGCTGAACAAAACAATATGATTCGCGAAACACCTGCGTACAGATTAAGGTAAGGCTAGACCTTCAAAGGTCGGCTGAGTCCTGACTAATGCGGTGACAAGCAATTTCTTCTTTTCGCGTTTCACACATTGACCGATTGTGCTCATGCTTCTTCGAACGGCATGAAAACAGCAAAAGGAACTGTACACTTTGAGAGAGATGGTCGTCCTTAAATTCGCAATGTCATCGTCGTCATCTGCCATGTAAGTCGCTGTCGTAAACCAGCTTCAATTAAAACGATTCATCTTCGATGTCAATCCCAAACGATTCCTCTAAATCATGAAACGACACGTTACAGGGAAACTAAATATAAAAACTTTACTTGAAGAATAAGTTTATGTTTAAGTAAACAGGTGTTCTATCGTATACGACAATATTTCTGTAGAATATTTGTCACAATGAGTGTACAAATTATTTAACGCCTTGAACACCATTACTGAAAGCTTGGTACAATACAGTAGGGGCTTTCCTCCCTCTAAACAGTCTTTAACGTCCTGCAAAAGTAAAGCAATACTCTCCTACGATAACGATAAGGTTCGCTTAGTGCTACCAGAAGGTTTTCGACCTTGCTTGTGTAATCGGAACTTAAGAACATTTTCGAATATGAACATCGTCAAAAAACTAAATTTCTTACAGACTAATTTTACAAAAAAGAAATCCATTTTAGTGTTTTAAAACGCATCAGTCAGACCAAGTAGCTACATGCTGAGTTCATGTATACATTTCTTTTGTATTCGGCATTCATCAAAATTGTTGGGAATGTGTCAGGAGTTTCTGTACTGCAATCTATGCGCCGATTAAAAACCGAAATAAACAATGCTCAATGTTTAATTGTTAATAATCGATTATTCAGAAATAATTTCCATAATAAAATACTAAATTACTCTTGCAACTGGTATGCATAACAAAGAGAGATACAGCTGTGACGCATTATCTATCTGAACATTACTTGCTGATAACTAAGTATTTGCGCAATCTAAAATAATCACATATACACCTGATTCCCTCTTGTGAGCTTCCACTAACTCAAACTGGTAGGAGGGTGACAAGCGTTGTCACGAAGAGGCACAGCGGAGCTCTTAGGCTCTGGAAGGCCTAACCGTGCCGAGAAAACTAGAGAAACATATACGGCAAAATGGAAGAAGGAACTGGAACTAAGGCCATCGCTTCGCGGAGGCTGAAAAAGATAGAGGGCGACAAAACTACTAGGATTATAGGGCAGGGCTGCTAAAGGCTGGCAATGTGCCTCTTTAGATCACTTCTAGGAGAAGCAAAACTTATCGGTAGAATTTTGTAAAATCGAATGGGGTATTGGCGGACTCGGCAAAGTTAAATAGGCGGGCGAATGCTGTTAGAGCTCTAGACACCCCTGTTACACAGGTGATACAGTAAACGTAAGAACAGGGAGAGCATGGCGCATTATGCACACAAAAAACAAAAAATAAAGAATAATATAGTACATGTATACAGCGCCGTAATTATGAGTTTTAAGAAGTATGAACTCTACGTAATTTATGTACATGTGACTCGTCGTGACTGCATCAATACCGAAAGAACCGTAACAAAAACTATGGTGATTTCAGCGCCGGATGACAGCAAGGAAACTAGCAGCCTAGCCTTAGTCACGAAAAGAGGAGTGACCGCGTAGTGGAATTTGTAAAAAGGAACAAATCAATTACTATGAAAACATGTATGGAGAGAGAAAAAAATCATGAGAAAATTGATCTTATCGTCAGAGAATAATATCGATTCTATCCTCGCTAACATGAAGAACCCAGTGGAGTGTATCCCTGCGATGAACAGGGTTATGGCTGAGGCCATCACCGGTTCGTCCGATGACAAGTGCTTCTGGACTCAGCTTTAAAGTGACGAAATTGCTGAGGACCAGACGTCACATACTTGATGTTATAACACTAAGGACGAATTTCCACCAACTACAATTAAATAACAGGTTCGATGTTGTTGACCGAATGCAAGAACAAGAAACAGGACAATGAAGAGAGGATGTCACAGACTCATCTGATACAAAGTGCCTCCGGTATCAGCTTAAGAACGAATTTTGAGGAGACGACAAAGAGTTGAAAATAAAAATGACGGAAAAAACCTTCCGCGGGTATCAACCGACTCTACATTCTTCATGCTATGCAAGTAGAAGAAAAAGCAGTCGCCAATAACGCAAGGTATCAAAATAAAACTAAAACAATTACAGAGGCGGAGGAAGGCATAAGGGAATCAAGGATTATGAAGGGCTAACCAAACATCTCATGAACAAGAGCAGGGAAATAGAGGCAGGAGTAGGTGAAAAGTCGAAACTCTGCAAAACATTAAGAAAAGACGTAAACACGGGACATACGGTTTGCTGTTCAACTGATTGGCAAAGGGAACTTGACAATCGAGAAGACAATCGAAATATCAGTTAAAAGAGAGATAGTCGAAAGTCATGAAAATCAGTCTTAGCCCTCAAAGCAGAAGAAGGAACGATCATTTGGAATAGACAAGAGATTCTAAACAGAGTGGAAAACTTTTATAAAAAACTATAGAAAGATGAAACCTGCAACAATTTAGATGAACAGAATATGAGGAAACAAAATACTCAACATTCCAGACAACATAACCAAAAAATGCGAAGTGTAATAAAGCAGAGGAGTAGAACAGACGCTGGCTGAAGATGACATTACAGTCGAATTCCTGAATCAAGATACTGAGCACTGAAATGAAGATTAGAGCGTTAGTTTACACGCTGTTTGAAAGAAATTAAAATTCTAGACATATGGCTTACTGCTTGAATGATTCCGCTATACAATAAAGGGGCAGATAGGAGTATGAAACCCTATAGGCTGATGAATCTGCTGCCAATCATTTACAAGATGAACTAATTTGACGAAAAACTGGACGCTGCATAACTCAAGGAGCAAGCAGAATCCAGAAGTGAATTCAGTACAATGGATCATCTTTAGATGGTACAACAAGTGATTCAGACAAGCAACAAATATCAGCTTCCTGTCTCTCTATGAGATTCGACAATTTCGGGAAGGTTTTCGATTCAATCTGCTCTAAACCAGCATTAGCTGCATCGATGAGCCAAGGATTAGAGAAAAACAATAACTTAATGACCATGACGCACAAGAATACAGTGAATAGTATGAAGTTTCACGAAGCAGTTAGCATTCAAATTTAAAAAAGATCTTTAACAGCATCATACGGTCTCACCGAAGTCATTTACAACAATCATACAAACGGTGTCCAAAGCATCCCGGAAAATCATGGGCTGAGCATAAATGGGCACTACTTAAGCCATCTGCGGTTTGTAGGTACATTTTAATCCTCTGAACGTCACCAGAAGGACTGCAAGGAAGATTTGAAAAGCCAAGAACCCAAACCAAATCTGAGCTGAAAATGAACCTGAAGAAGACTCAGGTTATGTTAAACAAATACGTATACCCGCGACCTATTGAAGTCAATGAAATTAGACAAAAGGTGCACAATGAGAACAGCTATGTCCCTATAGAACAGCCCAGCTATGTAACAGAGAACTCGCCTCCCCTGCAGAATGATATCTTAGTCTTTGTTAGGATCACACCGTTCAGAAAAGAAATTGGACAACAAGAATGAATAGCAAATTCAAAAGCATATCTAGGAGGTGAAGTCCACTGTCAAAAAGTAATTCTGATAGCTTTTTCGACCCTTATCACCGTAATGCTTCATACATACATCTCTTGCAAAATAAAAGCAATGCACCTAGGTATAAGTAATAGTATCGGTTTCCAAATCGTTGGAAAATGTACTAAACGAAGTGCAGCCTTAAAGCCTAGAAAAGTGGCAAGTCAAGACATTGGCCAATAATTCTACGAAAAGTGAAAATTTCGTCAGGGCCAGACTGAAAGCCTGCTTAATTTTGGCCCAGTTCCATCAACTGCCTGTCAAAGACTTTTGAAGTTATTCCAGGAGACAGTTTTAAGGGAGTTTACAATAGTGTGGTACGACTTAGTTTGAAAATTCAACCATCCTAAAAAGTTCAAAGACAGGGATCGTTACTCAAACTTTCATTCCCCAGAAAAAACGTTCACGTACACAGTCGATGGCAAATTTGTTTTTCTACATTCCAATTCGTCCATATTTCGTTCACTCAAGAGAAAGGATATGACACATAACGCAGGTACTCTTCATCCTGCGGTACATTAAAACATTTTGAATTTGTAGCCTTGTAGGTGAATTTGCCCTAACTTCTAATGTGGCGGAGTATTAACGGTCTGAACAGGCGAAACTGCAAGACAGATGACGAGGGACCGTTTGAAATTCTCAACCCTTCCTCTGGGGAGTTCCTTCCGTTCTGACAATGGAAGCATTCGCATCATTAATGAGGATGGCTGAGAACTAGAGATCTTCAATCGAAAATTGCTGTAATCGTTGAGAAACTGTTCTACAGTCATACTTTTCTGGTCCAGATGCTCTCATCCTTCATCAATAGTTTCCTGTCTCAGATGAAAATCTGCTTGACAGCTAAAATGAACAATATGGTGATGAACTGCTTTCAAGGGTGCAGTAGGGTATTGCAAAGATATCTCAAACTGGGTTTTTTCCATTCTAATGGCTAGTGTGTTCTCCGTAGCGCATAACAATGGCCATCTTCCTCCTGACCCCATATCCATTCTTTGCGCTGAAAAATTACACCTTTGCAAATTTTTGTTTTTTCTAACGCTTTACAGGTATTACCACTTCCTGACTGGGCACTAAGGCGGACACTGAAACAGCATTCTACCTCCTTAGACCGACCACATCGATATACGGTATCTCAGCTTCTTAGTATGGAATAGCTGATGGGCTTCAAACGAGCAACTTCGAGTGGCAACCGATCTACACGAGTACG